CAGACAGACAGACAGACAGACAGACAGACAGAACTGAAGAAGAAAACTAAAAAAATAAGTTGTCAACTTACAGAGAGCAGTTCATTGTAAGCCTTCAATGGTAGGATGGAGATTCTCTATAAAAGATCGAGGTGTAAAACAAAAATCAATTTTCAGTCGCCGTATTGGTTTATCCAACAAGAAACGTTAATGAGGAAAAGACACGGCTACCTTTCAAGGTGTCGCCGGGAACTGTGAAGGGGACTATTGATCCTATAACTACCTGATATTTAATCTTGAGTCGTATACTAGGCGCCTCGCCATTGGTTCCTTTATTAGTTGCTATGGTAACAGGATACCATTTTTCGACCTCTTGATTGTTGTCAAGGTTCTCAACCATAACATCAACAGAGCCTGGTAAAATATTCAGGAATGTTTACGTCGTCAAGGTAACGGCTGATAAGACCGATATAACGTCATTTATACGTTTATTAATGGCCCTAATCAGAGCGTTTTGCATTTTGCCTGGTCACTTACCAATAACTTTTCTCTTGTCCTTTTTGTTTTTAGAGTCGCTGTCTTTGTAGAGGTTGACAGTCAGTTTGGAAAAATCGGGTAAATCTCTATAGAGTTAAATAGTTGAATACTTGGTAAGATTTTTTCAGAAATTCAGTAATTTGAATCGATTTTGATAAGAAGTGGTTTCTTGTAACATTTTAAGATAAAATTCAGCGATAAAACTTTACTAAAAAACAAAATATTTCACGACTTTTCGACGTTAACTGAACGTCATTATCAAGTGATAAAAAACTAAAAAACGTTAACTTATATACATGAATAATAATGAGCATAAAAAGGTGCGAAAACGAAAAACTATGTAATTCAAATATTGTACAAATATTGAATCGATTTATTTAGAGAATGGTTATATCAGTAATTAAGAGGAAGATAGGTTTTAACATCTTTACTGCGACCGAGGAACTGAGTTTTGGTTTCCAAGTTCATTAACGATACTCTGATACAACCTCGGGGTTGATTATGATATATGCTAGTAAAGATGGTGATGATGATAATGATGATGACATATGCTAGTAAAGATGGTGATGATGATGATGATAATGATGATGCGCAGATGCTGGTAAAGATGGTGATGATGATAATGAAGATGATGCCATATGCTAGTAAAGATGGTGATGATGATAATAATGACAGATGCTAGTAAAGATGGTGATGATGATAATGATGATGATAATGACAGATGCTGGTAAAGATGGTGATGATGATGATGATAATAATGACAGATGCTGGTGAAGATGGTAATGATGATGATGATAATAATGACAGATGCTAGTAAAGATGGTGATGATGATGATGATGATAATAATGACAGATGCTGGTAAAGATGGTGATGATGATGATGATGATAATAATGACAGATGCTGGTAAAGATGGTGATGATGATGATGATAATAATGATGATGACATGCTGGTAAAGATGATGATGATGATGATAATGACAGATGCTGGTAAAGATGATGAAGTTGATGACAGATGCTGGTAAAGATGGTGTGATAATGATGATGATAATGATCATGCTCAGATGCTGGTAATGATGATGACGACGATGATGATTGAGGATATTGATGATATGCATGATAATGATAATGATAGCTGATTGATAATAGTTGATATATGCACATAGATCATTCACATACTCAAAGTTGAAGTTCTCTCCCCAGAATAAACTATCAGCTTTTGTTTTAGTAGTGGTTCTTGCATACAAGTCCTTATCAAGAAGAATTTCACAATAATATCTGAAATGTAAACACAATAAATAAACAAGTAATTACACAAGCTTGATCAGCCCTTCTCAGGCTCACTTCAAAGCTC